ATTGTGTCAGATAGGTGATTGTCTCAGATATATGATTGTCTCAGATAGGTGATTGTGTCAGATATATGATTGTCTCAGATATATGATTGTGTCAGATAGGTGATTGTCTCAGATATATGATTGTCTCAGATAGGTGATTGTGTCAGATATATGATTGTCTCAGATATATGATTGTGTCAGATAGGTGATTGTCTCAGATATATGATTGTCTCAGATATATGATTGTGTCAGATAGGTGGCTATAGGAGAAGGTTGGACGGTACTTGTCTCTAATGCGTAAAAACTAATGTATAATAATTTTTTTTCTTTTCTATACAGCTCTTGCCTCGTGCACGACAAGAGAGGTGTCGTTTCATTATCTGACAGAGAGGTCAATGTTAGCATCTACCTTTCAACAAGTCAACCATGCCTTCTCATCAATACTTGACCTGACTTAGGGTAAGGAAATAGTTTCAATGATAAAATATCAAATCAAGTATTATCAAGGAAAAAAGCAATGAAAAATTAAAATTGGTTGATTTTTATGTAGACCACATTCACACAGTTTCCATCATTTGAGAGGTGGGCTTCCAACCCTGACTGGCGGGGCCAACCCAGACTGAGGGGGGAGACAATATTTCAGTAGAAAGGTCAACATACTCCATAAAAGTTTCTGCCCACTCGAATTCGAGCCTCCTGCGTGCGACAGCAAAGCACCTAACTGCTCACCACAAACGTCAGTGAAAAAGCAATAAAATGTAACAAAATTAACCAATAAATTCCCTTGAGCATCAACAGAACAATAGGCATGTTATAACCTGGAAAGTCTAGGCCAGAAACAAAACAAAACCGACTCATTGATTTACGAGCCTAAGCCCTAAGCCAAGAGTCACAGAGCAGTCAGGAGACTCGTGGGCGACAAAGGTCAGGGGAGATAAGAGTTTACCTGTGCCTCGACTGTGCAGCTTGCCCAAGAGGTTGAGCAGAGCACAGAAGAGAAGGTAGAGGGCGGTGTAGGACAGGGCCAGGAGCAGCAGCGCAACGACAAACAGGTCGGGGTGGTCCTCCAGGAACGGACACTTAAACATTCACGGACACACTGCACAAACAGACCGGCCGGCAAACACTTGGCTCATCAACAACCCCACAGAAACCTACAAGACTTGTCTCCCCTCCCCCTGGCGCTGGCACAAGCCACCAGACACTTCCCTGTGTCCCCACGGACGTTCTCTCAACACAATATGTAGACGTTCTCTCAACACAATATGTAGACGTGTCCCCGGGACGTTCTCTCAACACAATATGTAGACGTGTCCCCGGGACGTTCTCTCAACACAATATGTAGACGCTGGCACAACACAATATGTAGACAGGTTACTCCGCTCCAAGAACACCCTCTGTTCACAAGTTTTCAATCACAAATAAACATTGGATTTCATTTTTTTAAAGTGCATGTATTTAGGCTTTACGCCCCAATTTACACTACACTATCAAGTTATTGAAGAGGCAGAGTTTCCGAATCTACCATCCGTCTCTGATAAGACCGAGCCAAAGGGGTTGAGAGCCTTCAAAACTACACAAAACAATCCCAGAACAAGAGAGCCCAGTTTGAGATTGGAACCAGGGCCATCCACTCTATGGCGCAGCAAGCGCTGGATATTTCTAGATACACAAATTTACAACAGCCTCAGGCTATTTCTCCGAACAGCCGTGGTCGGCACAGCAGACAGAGAGCCCTGAACTTTCCATCGGAGGCAACCACACGTCTTTTTCAGACAAACCAAAAGAAGAAAACTTGCCAGAATCCTCCCCCTATCTCTACCACACGACCTGCCACAGACAGAGATGGGCTACACTCGTCACACACGCCATCCCCACCTTATTCATTTGGGGAGGGGGGGAGGGGGGGGAGGGTCCCAGAGAAGAATACTCAGATGCCAGTTGTTCTGTTCATGATTTGGACAAGCACCACTTCCTTGCAACACCTCTCGACCAACTCGACATCCGCACACACAAGGCACAGGACTTGCCACAAGACCGCCCGGTACCGGCCACACCCGCTCACACCAGAGCACAGCACAGACACAGCACAGACACAGACACTGACACAGGCAGACACAGACACAGGCGACACGGCACTCGTGAAAATCAACATGGCCCCACACTTGTGCATGCATTTCCGTAAACGCCGGGCCACGATCGAAACTTGGGTGTTTTTTTCGGTCCTCACATTGACGTAACTCTAGGGGTAAGCTCTACACCCACAACGACGGAGAGAGAGGGGGGACGAGAGGGGGGTGACG